TATATAGCTATTGTCTCTATTTTGGTAATGGTAATGTCTGTGTGACATGTCATACAACTCCGGATAGACGGACATGGCCAGCAGCTTCTCCTCCATTTTTTCTGGTTATCAGGGTGACGAGTTCCGCGATATGATTGGTTGCCTGGAAAAAGCGCCGGTGACGACACCAGTGCCTTTCTGAAAAGTTCAGAGATTTTCAACTCAAAACGCTCGGAGCGGCCGCACAAAAAGGAGGAGTCGCGGGAAAAAAAGACGCTGGGTGCAGCGCCTTTCCCCTAGGCGGCCGCATGGGGCCGCAGACGCTCCCTCCTCATTGGGAACAATTGAAAAAAGACGCTGGCCTTCTGCTTTTCATTTTCTCTTGATTCCCTGTAGTTGTAGCGCAGATTCAGCCGTTGCCGGCAGTTTTTTTCTCCCCTCCCGATTTAATTTATAAATTAATAAATGAAAATAAATATTGTATAATTAAACAATATTCTGTCTCAAATTATTTATTTAACTGATAATTAGCCGTGTAATAAAACAACTCCCTTCAGGGGAATAGTAGGGTATGGGTGAATAGCAGCTACAGACAAAATTGTGCTAAGTGGTAAGATTAAGATGTCCTTTATTGAACCCAGGCACTGACACACAGTGCAAATATAAAAATAAAAGAAGAATAAAATCTAAACAATTTGAGTAAAAATATACACATGATGTGAGAAAAGTATTAATAAAAGGGAAAGTATGTACAAATGAATAGGGGATAGTAGGCTATGTAGCCTATGATACATGCTATATACAGTACAGCACAATGCTGCATATTAACAGGCAATACAATAAAACACTGTTGCATTACTTCATTGCCTGTCTGTGTGGGTCGAATCTGGTCAGGGTACCTTCAGGCACTTCGTTTTTTTGTTTAAAACGAAAAAACGAAAAAAACGGAGCCGTTTTCCGTTTTTGTTGTCAGAATCAAAAAACGAAAAATGACAAAACCAAATTCATATAACAGCCCGATTTTGTTTTTTTGCAGATTCATTTTTTCATTTATTGTTTTGGACAAAAAGTAGAACTGACATCAGAGGCAGAAGTAACTTCAAAATAAAAGACAGGAAGATAAGCTTGCCTAAAACTTATAAATATCCTATAAATCTTTCCCATGTATCTTTTATTTCCACTTACACCTGATGTTTTGCGCATTTTGAAAAGCTGCCTGCCATTGCTGTGAGGAACTTTTTATTCATAAAAATAGAAATAAAACGTTATGATCGCAAATTTTATGGCTACAGTAAAACTTGTTCAACCATAACGTTGCTTTTCAGAGGGAAATCGTCATGCATATTGTTCCCATGAAGGACGTATAGGGATTCCCTCAAAGGTTGTGTTTTAATATTCATTCGCCCAATTGTTTGCAATAAAGTAATCGAGAATATAATAAATTATTGTGTGTGCTGCGTTGTTACTGTTAACATGGGTTTTCTCCATAACGCATCGTTGTGTCAGTGAAGTGTCAAGCTGATGTTTGTCCTTTTTACCAGCAGATGGCAGTAGGCCTATGGATTTATTTGCTGTCATTGAATGCCTGGGTTTCTCTTAGTTTCTGCTGGATTATACAGACCTGCAGTTCTTCAGGTTATTGATAAGGACAATTCAAATTACATGCAGCATATATTTACTTGTATTCTTTTATATTGTTGTATCACATAGGCCTATGCATTGTTGGCAGAGATGGGCAGCATTTTAATTACATGTATTTAAAATGTTTTATCACCTACTATGACAACAGAAATGTCATACAAAAATACATCCTGTGCCTTTTTTCAAAATCTGATTAATCGAATAAAATAATCAATGATTAATCCATTATTTTTTAAAAA